AAACCGCATTTTTCAATTAATCTAAATGACATACGATATTTGATAAGACTCAACGAAACAAATTTTATTCAACATGCCAAACTTTTAAAACCAACTTTTTAATGTAATTTTTATCCAACATTTTCTAGTAGTTTTGTGAATGTTTCTCTCATCCTCATTATATTTCAAATCGCCAATTTGTAATTGAGACTTCGCCTGCATCAATTCTTTAGCAATCCCTCTGTATCAATCGATCGGTATCAAATATGAAAATCATCAATTTTTCGATAGAGCGCATTGACAAATGGTTTGCATCCATGAAAATGACTCACAAGGAAACCGCCTCAACTACCTCGTGAGTTATGTCTCCGTATTACCAGTGGAAATGAATCTCGATGAGACTAGGACAACTTCAAAAGAATAAGTGCCCATGGTCTGTTGTTCAAAATTCAATTTTCAAATAAAGCCGAATTAGTATTTTAAATTTTTTATCACTATAGAGATGCCTTCTAAAAAAAAACAATCATATATTCGGATAGCGCTTGAAATTTTCTATCTATATGGACTCATACACACCCTTGTAAGTGGCACCTGTTAAATACGAAATAAATTTGTATTTTACCTTCTCAGTAGCAGAATTGAGTATTCATTCAAAATGAAAGATACCAACCCGACCATGGAACCACGTGTGCTTAGCCATGTTTTGAAAAAAAAATACTCTTGAAGTGATGCGTTGTTAGGACCAGTGAGTCTCTGCTATCATCTTTTTTTCGATAAATTCGTTTAAAGATGATAAGATTTTGTATGCAAAAACGAAGTAATAACTTTTTCTTCTACAGAACGAAAAATAAATACGAAACAGTGTGTTTTCAAAGTTGAAGATTGATAAGGGCACAACTTACACTTTCATGGTCATCGGCACATGATGATGATGTATTCTCATTATACAATAGTTCTTTTCTTTGGTTTGATTTTCACTGAAGTTCACGTGAAACAATTGGGAATGGATGAAGCCTATTTGATCATGCGCAATAAAAACTTTTCAGATGCAATCGTATTTCTTAGCGATATGATTATTTGTGAAGACTGTGATTTTGAGCGAATAGCCATTGTCTCAGTGCATTCGAATATCACTATTAACATTAGCACAGAGTATGCGTATAATTTCGAACTTCGATCATTATTCTCAAATTCACTATTGAATTGTGATTTTACGTAGTACAAATTCAGTGAACATGGTACTTATCTATTCGAACTAATACAAAGAATAGAAAATGGCAGTAAAACTTGTTCAATAACACAGATCGGAAAGCCTAGTCATTATTGGTTACCTGCTATTGTTGGCTTTGTACTATTTCTTGTCTTTATTATAATAACTAAAGTATTATGCTATATCTACTGAAGTAACCGTTTTGATAATTTTCTAAAGAAAATTTTGAATCTATGTTCAATCAGCAACTCTCAAGAGTCAATACCACTGATCAATCGTTTGGATCCATCCGAAAATGCTTCAAGAGTCGAACACACTATGATTCCTAGTGAAGTTGACGAAAGTCTTGTACATTCTATGAAATATACTAAAAATCTTCCTGTGGGCAAATTGAGTTTCACAATAACAAAACCTGAGGTCTCTAGTAATGTTGCAAGAAAACGTTTTCGAGCTTTGGATACATTTCGAGGGCTTTCACTCATGATTATGATTTTTACCAATTACAGTAGTACGTTCATTCTTTGTTAATTACTGGGCTAAATTCGTATTGTTTGTTTTTAGGTGGTGATTATTCATTTTTTTTAACATTCGGGTAAGTTATTGGAATGATTTTTCTTTTTCTATATACAATTCTATTCTTTCTTTAGTTTGGAATGGATTAACTTTAGCTGATGTTGCAATGCCTTGGTTTGTTTGGATGATTGGTATTTCAATTGTACTATCACGACGATCATTATTTGCAAGAAAAACTCAAAAGAGGAGTATTTTACTGAAAATTTGTCGACGTACAGTCGTTCTATTTCTGCTTGGTGAATATATGATTGTCATTTCATTGTCAGATATTGTCTTATTCCTGTTCAGGTTATATCACTCAAAATGAAGAACCTTGGTTAGACCACATTATCATCTTTGGTGTTCTTCAACGATTGGCATTGTATTATTTTTTTACAGCATTGCTAGTTCTTTTTATTGACAAAAATCATGATGAGCCAAGTACAAGACGTTCGCGCATTGGTAACATAATAATATTGTGTGTCTTTTAACATTTATTTTTGTCAAAGGTTGGAATATCCAAAGATGATGGTTTATTGAACTGTCTAATGCTGTTCTTCAATTTTGGCTACAATGGCTTTTCATTCTTCTGATAGTTATTATTTGGCTTCTCATCACCTTTCAACTACATGTGCCTGGTTGTCCAACAGGTTATTTGGGTCCCGGTGGTAAAGATGACCATTGGAAATATCAAAACTGTACAGGAGGTACGTGGTATTATATGCCTTGAGTTTCTTCTGATCTATTCTAATTCCATTGATTGAAGGCGCCGCTGGATATATTGATCGGTTATTTTTGAAAGATAGTCAAATGTCACGCTGCTGGACTTGTAGATGGATATATAATACTCATATGCCATTCAATCCGGAAGGTAATAAATTGAAATGATTTTCAATGAAGCATTTTTTCTATTATTTGACGAAAACACTAATGTAGGCGCCCTAGACACTTTAACAAGAATTATTCTTTGTTATCTTGGCGTTCAAGCTGGTCATAGTTTTGTTCATTCAAAGCGTAGTCGTAATGTATGCATTCATTGGATTGTGTCAGCCGTTATTTGTGGTACTCTCGGCTTAATTTTATCCAATGGAGGACATTCTGATGGATGGATTCCTATTAACAAAAATCTTTGGTCACTTACATTCGTACTGATCAATGCTAGCTTGGCGTTTATTATATTGACTATATTCTATTTGTCCATTGATGCTCGTCGGTGGTTGACCGGTGTACCATTCTTTTGGCTGGGTATGAATTCTATTACAATCTATATTGGTCACATTGTTCTATCACATCGTTTCCCAGTCCAAATCTGTGTAGAAAAAACTCAAGCTAAATTAATGGCAGTGAGTCTCTATGGTGTTTTCTTGTGGACATTCATTGCTGGTTTAATGTATTGGAAAACAGTGTTTATTGCAGTTTAACGTTTTTTCACCCGATTGTATGAGGGTGTGGGTGTGGGTGTGAGTGAATACAAAAAAACATTAGTACTCATACTCACACACCCACACTCCAATTTCGGAATTCCAGAAATCGACGGAACTCGATTAATTGTGTGTATGCCTTTTATGTTGGATGATAATTGAGTTCTCGGAATTGCACGAAACTGGTTCCGCAATGTTTAACATTGTGGAATAGGATGGCTGCTCATTCATGTACACCCACATCCATATCCTCGCATCAGACACATCTCTGTTCAAGATCTGCTCACTTTTCTGTATTTTGAATTCATTCTGCAAATGAAAAAAAACAAATGCAGAACATTCATTCAACTCATGGTCTGAATATGAAAAACTATCATTTGTTAACTATCTTGTGTTTACTGAAGGTGGTGTGAGTCATTGCAGTCAACAACTATTAAATTATAAAAGTTTGCACTTTTTCTTTACACTCTTATCTACTAGGGGACCTTCGGTCTCTCTTCATCGATCTTTTCATTATTATATTTTCATCGCGATAGAAAGATGACTGAGATTGATAATGAAGCGGAGATTGCATCAAGAAAGAACACCTTTACTAATTCAATAGGGGAAATTCGCTCAAGAACATCATCAATCGTCAATATTATTGCGGATCATTTTCATACTTCTATTAATTCTGTTATTCCAATCGTCATTGAAGAGATTGACGATGACAATGATGATGAACTTCCTTTATTTTCGATTCGACAAATATATAAAAATTTAATTATTTTTGCATTAAATTTTGTATTGTTGTTCACTGCTTATGGTAGCATATCAGTACTACAATCAAGTTTAAATACAGAAGGGAATGTTGGTGTTAATTCTCTCATTGTATCTAATGCTTTTTTCTTGGTAAGTCTATTTGATAGAATTTCATATTAGTGAAAAATATTTATTATCATTTATAGGTTAGTTCAATATTTCTCACGCATATGTTAATCGACATTTTTGGACTTAAATGGACGGCGATTATTTGTGAAATAGGTTTTATTTTCTATATTATTGCTAATATTCGACCTCTACCATCACTGATGTATATTAGTGAGTATTGTGTTTTTAAAAACTGATAAAATTAGTTTTATTGTTAGGCGCCGGTTTGGTTGGTCTTGGTGCTGGGCCATTATGGACATCTCAAGCAACTTATATAAGTCATATTGCACGTTATTATGCTCATCGTAAAGAAAAAAAAGTTGATGTTATTGTTAGTTTATTTTTTGGAATTTTTTATGCCATTTATTACACAAATCTTATTTGGGGAAATTTACTTTCATATCTTGTACTTAATCGATCAAGTCAATCACAAAACTTTAATTGTGGAATTCATTTTGATCCATTATCACAAACAAAAACTGGATCATCGAGCAATGTTAGTGATGTGACAGTAAGTGATTAGAGTTGTTTTCTTATTATTTTGTGATTTATTTAAGCGTTATGTTCTATGTGGCATATTTGCTGGAATGGGTGTTGTGTCAATAATTCTTTTAGTTTTAGCACTTGATCAGATTCGATTAGCTAAACCACGTAAAAAATTTTTTAAATAAAATCTAAAATAAAGAATTGTTATTTGATAGAATCTGTTAGACAATCATTAAAGAAAAGTATTGAACTTCTTCAATCTTTAATTAAATGGAAACATCTTAATCAATTATTTCTTGCTCCATTAATAATATGGTCTACGATGGAACATGCATTTTTAGTTGCACAATTTACTCGAGTAAGAAAATGATTTCGAAGACGAACGAGTTTTAAGTTCGATTATTTTAGGCATTTATCACTTGTTTGGTTGGTATTCGGTAAGATTTTTAAATGTCATACTCCTTCGACTTGGAACTCCTATCTATATTTCTAAGAAATTGGTTTTTTATTCAATCTAATTGATGAATTAATACAAAAGGATTTTATTCGAATTATCATGACTTTCTAAAGAACGCTTAGATAATTGCGTGCAAGACAACCTTCAGAAAAATATTAAGGACTACACAATACCGATCGATAAAAACTTTCAGACGGAAATAAAATTAAAGAGTTTGCTATTTATCGAATGAAATATTTCAAATTTGAACGTCAAAGAAAATCTATCTGCTCATAGTCGAAATTTAGAATAAGAAAAAGGAGAAGTACATTCTCACTGTCATCCACACACTAATTGATGTGTACAGTACAATAATTAAATAAAATGATATGTCTAAACTGCAGTAAGAGTTTAGTATTTATTAAAATATTTGTTAGGAATATGAATTTTACAATGTGATCTGATGTACAAATTCAAAAATTTCGGAATATCAATTTTTTTAAATGTCCTCATTGCAACAGTCAAAGCTAAAGAATTTTGTGAATTAAATTGTTATCAAATTTTTCGGATTGTATGGTTTTATCTCTCATGAGAGGTTCTTTCGATGTGGTATATTTCTCCCAAGTGGTTTAATAAATAAAATTTCATTAAATTGAATGAAATCTGGAATATATGATGATCAATGAAAGAAAAAAAAAATGTTCTTTCATCGTTATTATATTAATTGATGAATATGATGTTTGACATTGTACTACTAAATTGTTCAATGTTTTCTGAAGAACTTATTTCCAACATTCATCAATGAATATAATAATGATGTAAGGACAATTTTCTCTTTTTCATTAATCATTATATACCCCAGATTTTATTCAATTAAACAAAATTCTGCTGATTTGACCACTTGGAAAAAACGTCATACGTCGAAAGAAACTCTTATTAGAGACTAAAAACATAGAGTCCGAAAAATTTGATAACAATTTATTTTACAAAGTTTTTTAGCTTCGATTGAACATTGTCAAAATACTAAAAGGTCTATTCTTTGTAGGACATCCTATATAAGTCAATATAATGACAGCTTTTTCAAATAGTATTTTCCATTGAGTATCTTTGAAGGTTTTAGAAAATTATGTAAGGGACAAGTCTCGAAGAGTTGTACAGTGCGACATGATTGAATTTATAATCTATTGGATGTTTGTACATAGCTTTATTGGTCTTGTATTGATGTGTAATGGTATATGTCAGGCAATGTCTAGTTATATCTTTGGTGGTCTTGTCAAATACATCGGTCGACTTGGATGTTTCATAATCGCTACTCTACTAAATTATGCAACGATCATTCTCATGTACTTATGGGAACCAAATGCGGATCAAATATACATTCTCTTTATTATAGCTGGTCTTTGGGGTGTTGCCGCTGCTGCTTGGCAATCACAAATCATCGGTAGAATTTTTTATTTATCATATTGATCTTCTCATTGATGTAGTATTTCTTTCAGCTGCTTATACAGTTCTTTATGCTGACGATGATCCAAGTGCTTTAGCAAAATATCGTCTATGGCAATCGATTGGTGCTCTTAGTACTTACAGTGTAAATATCTCTCATATTCTCTCAAAAAACAGCTCATTTCTTTTCAATTTGTTTTTTTTTGTTTAGTATGCGAGTTATGTCACTATTCAAATGACACTTATTATTCTTTTTAGTTGTCTAACAGTGAGCATGATTTTTTATTGTGGAGTCGAAATTCATGTTCGATGGAAAAAGAATCGAAGAAAACCAACTATAGTGAATGATCATTGTTGATGGAATTTTATTTGTTATTTTATAATAAATACTTATTTTTTTTTGTTTACAAAAAAATTGCGTGTAAGAAAATCAATAGTATTGTATACGTAAAGATAAGCGAAAGTATCCTTCGGTCTGTATCGATTAACAATTGTGTGTAAGGAGTATTTCATCATAGACTGTTTTAAATAGATGTCTAAAAGATCGATATAACATTTTATGTCTAACATTACAAATTGCTGATATTATTGATTTCGAAATTAAAATATTTATGGTGGAATTTTTTTGTAATATGTGAGTAACAATATTCATATTGAGGTGACATTGGTGTAAATATAGAAAAACGCGTTTAGAAAAGTGATACATATGACTATCAAATATTATCATTGAATCAATATATTTCATTAGTTAACTGATTCAAACCTATCAAATCCAGGTCAAATCTGAATAAGTCCACTAAAATCTGATTTAATCTTATCAAATTTAGGTCGAATATGGTTAGTTGCAGCTTGATTCTAATGAAATCTAGTCAAATGGAAACAAGTCTTCCCAGACCCTGGTCAAATTCAGTCAAACTGGGCATAATATAGTCGAATCCAGATTAAGTCTGTTCAAGACCTATCATATCCCAGTCAAATCTAAGCCAAATTCAGTCAAACCCAGGATTTGGGTTTGACCGAATTTGGATTTGGGGCACCCCTACCAGATTACTATGGTATTCTCAAAAGTGAGCACTATTAAAAGCAAAAATTACCGGGAGGAGGGGGAGGGGGCGGGCGATTCAAAAAACGATTTTTTTTCGCAAGCTTCGATCGCAAAAATTCTTTCATAGAAATCCTACGGGAACTTTTGTTTTCATGTTCTTGACCTGCGCAGACCTCAGGATTTGTTCATAGCACATGATTTTCTTGCTCAAGACAAGCGCTTGAGTGTTTGCATGAGTTACAAGAAACTCATGTGCTCAACCCAAGAAAATGCAATTATAATTATTTATTGAAAGTTGAATTATTTTGAACGTAAAATTAAAAAAACTAGAAAAGTTTCTTAATAACAGAAACGCTTGGATAAGAATCCAAGTGCATGGACAAGAATTTCAAGCGCATGAGCAAGAATATCAAGCGGTAGAACAAGAAGTTCAAGAACTTGAGCTCACCGAAAGGTTTCAAATCTTGCCTCAAGGTTTGTCCATAGCGCATGACTTTTTGATCATGATTCTCAAGTATTTCCTGTGCAGATCAAAAGAAGTTCGTCTAGGAAACTCATCATTTGGACCCAATATCATCTTCCATAAATTTCACGTGGATCCTATGCTCTGAAGACGAGATATCGCATACACAAAAATCCTACATCCGCCGCTGACACATAATATTAATAGAAAAAGAATGTAACTAACCTTAATGTAAATCCTTGATTAAGCATTTGAATAATATTATTTTTTGCATAAATCGAATGTCTTCCCTCACTTGGTACTAGATTTATATTTAATTATTGTTGTTTTACTAATTGTGCAACAGTTGTTAAACATTTTGATGTTGATCGATGAATATGTAATGGTTTTGATGAATTTTGTTCAATTGTTTCAACAACATTTGACTTTTTGAAGATTTATCATTTATTTTTTGTGAATTTTCATTTGTTGTTGTTGTTGTTTGTGGAGGAACAATATCAATTAATCTTCTTTCATAAGTTCTATATCTTTCAAGAGCTTCATCAAGATTACAACCATTTGTTTTAGCAGTTAAATTTTGACCTGATTGATGACCATAATTAAATGCTGATGAAGGATGTTTTGAACGTGGTACTGTTGTACGACGATTTTTTGAAGAATTTTGTTGAGAATTCAATGCATTCGCTGTCCAGTGTGATGGATAAAGACATTGATGAAGCATTTGATTAAATGTTGTTGTTCGTTGTTCAAAAAACGATGAAAAAAATTCATATGTATCATATGTTGGAAATATTCGAACAAAGCCATCATGTTGACGATTTACTTCTTTTATTGTTCTTAGGATTCGAATTTCTTCTGAAGATAAACCAAAATATTCTCCACGAACATTTTCATTTGTTTGATTATTTGTATTATTAATATGGCTATGACGTGTTCGACAATTAGCTGTTGTTGCACGTATAACACATGAATTACTATTTCGACTTGTTAACGATGATGTTAAGCAATAACCAGCACTTATTGGACGACGCAAACAATTTAAAAAATCTTATCGATTAAGTTAAAAATTCTCTAGAACAATTAAATATTTAAAGATTTATTAAAGAAAGCCCCTTAGAAAATCCAATTTTTCGAAGACAAGTTGAGGTTGAGGTTTTTGTCATAGGAAGATGCACCGAAGTTTCCTCTTTTAGAATTAGGCTGCTTTCTCTTTTTTTTTAATATTTATTTTATCGTTTAGATGAGGGTTAACAAATGATAAATTCATTTCACAACATACAAAATTTATGATGTAGAAATAGGAAAGTATTTTAAAATAAAGTATTTCAGAAAAAATGAAGTAGTTTTGAAATGACAAAATAACTTTTTGTGTGCATTCATAAATGAAAAATATTCGAGATATTTTATAGAGTCTATTTTGAAAATTTATTGTTTTTCTTCAGATCCATGCTTTTATAGTATTTTTTTGACAGGTCGGTTGCTATTAGAAATTCTGTCCATGTTTGTCTATATATACCAATTTACGTTTGGTGATTCATTCAAATGTTCTTGGAAACGAATCCAATATTTATGAAGAGAATCTCTTAGTGTTAGTTCTCTACTCAAACATAGTGCTGTCAAGTCTTCGTAATCCCATAAACTGTACGCCAGTTTAAGACCTATTACGTACGCATATTCTATTCTGTGTTTCTGTTTATCAGTATAATAAAACCCTGTAGAGAAGAGTCATGCTAGGTGCGAAAATGAGAATGCAATTAAGCTGCTTTCTCTTTGCATCAGCATTTCGTAAAGTTTTTTTTATATAAATCACTATGAGACTATTAATACTTAATATTAAGATCGTGTATTTTATAGTCTGTCCTGAACACTAATATTTAATTCAGGTGGTTTTGGCAAAAAATCAATTTCTAATACTTATTTTCCTTTTTTCTCAAAATCAGTTTTTTCGAGTATACTTTTTGCATGGGCAAGTTTTTTTTTTCATAATAACTTGAGGCGGAAGTGATTATTTGTTTTTAGTACTTAGTAAACAAGTAGAGCTAGGTCGTAACTAGAGCCCGTCGGGTCCAAGATTTTTGGACCCGAATCCGGACCCGTATACAATTTGATACACTCGTACCTGGAATCGGACCCGCTGATTTAAAAAAGGTTGGATCCGGATTCGACCCGGACCCGCTCGGGTCCGGGTCCTACCCGACGGGCTCTAGTCGTCACAGAGCCGAATTTTTGAATTTCTCCTTTGCTCACATAAAAAACCGTAGATCTTTTGTTGTGATCAGTGATATTTTTTTTCGGTCATGAATTCAAAAATTGAACTCTTTGACGACCTAGCACTAAAGGCACTCTACAACCTAGAAATGGTCTAGTCATGTTAGCTGGTATCCATATTGTGAAAACCTTGTCCACGTACAGGCTACTTTTCACCAATAAACAGACTATAACTCGCAGATTTGAGGAGATATTCTTGAGAGTGTGGGTGTGGGTGTAAGCGTGGGTGTTGGAATAGATGTGCGGAAGTGAACCTGGAAGTAGTTAATACTACATTCACACTCATCCCGCACCCTTCACTTCCACGCATCCATTCCAACACCTACGCTCATACTCATACTCACACCCACACCCTAATTATCTTTTTTATATTTTAGGTTGGCTTCGACAATACAAAATCATTCAATTCAACATCGAACAATAAAATAAAATGTAGATATCATTTTTTTTATTTTTTTTTTTTTTTAAGATCATATAAAGGGTGGTAAGTTCTCCTATGTTCTTTTTCACGTATTGTTTTTTTTTCATTTTAGGCATTGGACAGTGAAGAAAAAGGTAGCGGGTGGAGTAAGTCATCTCGTTCTTTTTCATTACATAACATTAAGCAAATTTTTTTTCTTTTCTTTTTAGTACTCAATATCATCGTGTCATCATCATCAACAACGTCAAACATGGTGAATAATTTTTTTTCTTTTTTTGAGATGAGAATAAGGGAGAGGCAGATTGAGGAGAGTGAGTTCTGTCCGTTGAGGGTTAGAGTTTCGTCTTCTATGAAGGACTTCCGAGTAGTCCCTAAAAGCCCAGCCAGAAATCGTCTTGGTGTCCGTGGCCCACGACTGGACCTCCAGACTCATTGACATATCTCGCGAGTGGGAGGGATATGAATGATTTGAGTCTATCTCGTGCGTGCATGAGCGTTACGCTCGCCACGGCTCCACCAGGATGGTTCCTGGTCGCGCGCGCGCGATTAGAATAGACATTCATTTCATAAATTCAACGTGATTTATTTGAAACGAAAGGAAAGAAGAAAAAATCTATCATGACGAGTCTATTCGATTGAAAAGCATTGAACACGAGAATTCCGGAAATCGGCGACATAGAGATTGCCATGACGATTAAATGACAAACCCTGAAGACCGTTGAACTGATTTGCTCCTGCTCCTTTACCATTTCCACCCACAATGACAGTGCCCTGTTTCGCTCCTTTACGCCAACACATCAGTCGATGATTTCCCGAGTCTGCCACATAGATGGTACCCAATGTATCGACGAACAGTCCATTAGGATACCACAATTGTGTCAGAGCATTCCCTTCGCCTTGACCTCCAGCGACGACAATTCCTTCTTTTGCACCTTTATTCCATTTCATCACACGATGATTTTCGTACTCTGACACGTAGACAGTCTGTTGTTGATCGACAAAGATGTAGGTCGGCTCATGGAGTTGATTGAGACTATCGCCTGTGCCATTGCCACCAGCCACTATAGTTCCATTCTTGTCTCCTATTTGATATCGTCTTACTTCATCTTTGTCGTAGTCAGAGATGTAGAGATATCTCTGATCATCCATGGCCAATCCTCGACAAGCGATGTTGTCGAGGAGGATTTCTCTTTGAGTTGTGCCACTACGACGAGGCCATCGTACGACTCGTCGATTCCCTAGATCACAAACAATGAGACTATTCGTCTCTTTGTCGATCAATACATCAGTTGGATTATTCAATTGATCCAATCGATTTCCTCGGCCATTGCCACCAGCTACTACTTGTCCATTCGTATCATCCATCTTCCATTGGATGATACGATGATTGTCGTAGTCAGCAATGACCATCGTTTGATCATCATCAACGAAGAGACCATAAGGGTATTTGAGTTGATTGGTGGCATGGCCCCATCCATGACCTCCAGCAACAGTCATCCCATTCTGTACCCATCGAGTATCAACTGGAATATTGGGAATTACTATAATGAACGAAAAAGAAAAGAAATCGTCGTTGTCGAAGAGATTCCGTCTCTCGTGAGAGCAAGCGCTATAAATATGACATTCGTCTTTGAGAATGCTCATTCCACAGATAAACATTCAGAAGTCTTTTCCTAGTTTCTTATGAGAAAAAAGGATTTGGTAACGATTCTTACATCTATGTCACTTTTAGTTTTTGCCAAGATCTTTTTGATCATAAAAACAACACCTGGAGGTTGCTGTAAGAAGGTCCTCTAAGAAAGAGTAATGCTAATTCTATGAAAGCTTTTGATAGAAAAACATAAAGATCTGAGAGTGTTATTCGCAATTGCGAGAATGCAAAATCTTTTTGTCGGATGATCATTTACATGAACATCAGACAAGAAGAATTATGTGAAACTCCTAAACTGAGAAAATCCTGAGAAGATTCTATTTGCATCTTGTTGGGAAGATATCAAATATGATCCATGTTGTTGGAGAACTTTGAGGATACTTTTCACGTCATAGGACGATTCAGGTAGATCTATAGAATTTGATCTTATATATAAAGAAGAATGTTTATCTGTCTGTCTGTTCTTTATGCATTTCCACACTGCACGAGCGAATGCAATCAAACTTTCCAGGAATTCTCCTCTCATCCAGGAGAAAGTCAATACCTATTTTTTTTTCAAAAAGAATTGGTCCTTCGCCTGTAAAAAATATGCCTATGTTGCTGACCAATCAGATTGCAGTATTCGGTACTATAGAAGTACTACTGAGCAGCACTTCATGAACACACAGAAAAACATAGATCCACAGGTTTTCGAGTGCGATGAGTTCGAATTAGGGATCCAATCATCTCAAAACCTGATTGATTGGCCCGAAACCAATAGAAATCGAGTTTTTGAGAAAATGAATATCAAGGGTGACCCATGTCATACACAAATCCAGCTTTTGGGGAAGTTCATCCCTGGAGGTCGTGTGAGGCGGGAATTTCGAATAAATAGCCTATGATGCTGAAAATTTGTATTTCATAGATATCGACTCCTTAGGTTGTTAAAGGATTTGTCCCACAAAAATCTATCTGTTTGTCTTTCTTTGCAATCAGTTGGAATTCAGTGTGATTTCAGTAGTACAAAATTCGACGTTCTAGATCAATTAGATATGTCGTTGCGCTTAGTTTCGATCAAAACGGCTTTTTCTTGCAACACTGTCGAAGAATCGCTTGTCCATGTGGATTCCCCACTAGAAACACAAGTATACGACTCTGGAACCGGGAACGTGACCAAATGCGGCCGGGATCAGTCAGAATCGGGGTCGATCGAGATGGGTATATGCTCTTATAAATGCTTGGCCAAGATAAAAAGTCGATAGAACTCAGAAGTTTCATCAAGTTCTTCTTGATCTAGACGTATAAGGACGAAGAATCCTTTACTTCTGATCAATTTTTCAATGTCAGTATTTCATATCCGTCGAGAGCGAGAGTAGCCGTGGCTGGAACTTAAAATACGTCCAAGAGCCATAACCAGGACAGGAACAAAAAATAGAGTTTTATGCGTGTCTACTCCCTACTGATTAGGTTTTCTGACATGTTCTCGAGCGTAATAGGCCTTTTGCTTACATATATTAAGACTGAACTTTTCCGGGCAACGCCGAGTAGTTCCGCTAGTGACTTATAATTTTGAAATGCTGAGAGATATTAATCCGATCGGAGCTCTCCATATGATAATATACGGATATGCAGATTTTATACGTAATTTAGAACGTGTGGATCTTAATCAGATAGCCAAAATTTGTTTTTGATAGATGCATAATTGAATTCTTTACAAGCTTGTATTTACCTTCATTTAAAACAACATAGAAATGCGAAAAAAAAATGTTAACATGTAAATAAACGATTGGATTATTAAAATATACTTTTTACAAACTTCAAGTTTTTGAAATCGAACAAAAAAAGCTCATTAAAGTGGGTTCTTTTTTTAATTTTAATATTTCCATCATAAAATTTATATTCATATTTGCTTCTCTAATAGGAAAATTTTTCTTACCACTCATTGCAAAAAAATGTTAGCAAATCATACGACTGTCTCAACTTTGATATATAATCTATTTATTCGTCTCTTTCTGAGCAAAATCAGCAGATGTAGAGAGAAATCCAACTTCGAATGCTTATTCATGTTGTGATAAAAATAGAATAATTTTAATCGCTCTAAGAAAAGTCGATTCTCAAATACATCAGCAACAGACTCTTTTATGTGATAAGAATAAAATAAAACAAAGCATCTTGAAAATTTTTATGATCGCACAAGTATTAGAAACATGAGAGAAAAGCATACAACAATAACCATCCTACGTCGCAAGTAAATCAAATCACATTTTTGAACTTTAAGAAAAATAATATGTAAACAAAGTAAACAAATATAAGAAGAAGAAGCAGGCATCAACTTGTACACGTGTAAAAAAAGAGAAAGATAGTCGAACATTTTTAACAACATCCTATTCTGTATGATTGTTAAAAAATTGGTTTGCCATTCTACTTAGAAATTAGAGCGGTCTATAAATAATAATTCTCACATCAGGTGTATTCGTATAAATACAAGTATTCGGACCAAAGATTCTGTGATTAAATGCACTTGAATTGCTTTGAAAAGAATGAGAAAAAAATAAGTGATTGTTCAACATATTAAAATTTGTTCAGAAAAATATGCGTTTCTTAAAAGTTTTGTCTGACTGATGTGCTACCATCTTGTAATCAATGACTTATTACTTTGATATTGATCTGAAAGAACATATATCAAATTAAAAAACTCAAGAGAATTTAAAATTTGATATAAGTTTTTATGTCAACAAAATTCAACTACAATCAACCATTTACTACACAATAATAGTAAGATTGACATAACTCAAAATTTATCTAAATTATATTTCCAGTAATGCAGATCTTAGGAATGTGATTGTTCTCTCTGAGGGCATACTCAATTCAAAGAAAACCGAATGTTTAGTATCATGTAAAGATCTGCGATAAAAATTATTATATGTTTAAGAAGTTCATCGAACTATTGTACGTTCTGTGAAAGTAACATATTTATATAAGTTGTTGCATAGATTCCAGATGATTTTTTTTATGAGTCCTGTCATTTTAATGGAATAATATTCATCATATTTGTTGATTATGATAGCAGTTTTTATCAAGCATAAAAAATTGTTACTTAATTCAATTGGAAGCTAATGAAGTAAAGAAAACCAATCCGATACATAGGAAGCACCAATACACTTCTGAGCTTGTCTTGATTGATACTTTTGTAAATTTTGTCTAGTTTTTTGTGAGACAAGGAAATATTAAAACGGTTTTTCTTCTTAAAATCACTCGACTGCAATCTACAAAAATATAGGAAAAAATTGAAGTTTTTCTTATTATAGGAATAAAAGGGCCGTGTTTAATAGTCTCAATCATCATCGTTCAAGGTCACAGTAAAATATATAATAGAATCGACATCAGCATAAAAACTATATCGGAACATACATCAATGCTTTTAGTTCATCAGAAGTGCGTTTTTCGTGAATAAGTTTTTTAAGTTGTAATATCTCTGATCTGACGGGTTTTTTTTGTGTTGATTTCGAATATACTATTCAATTTGATCTGATATACAGCTAGGATGAAAAAAAACTGGCGAAATACCCCAATTCACTTTTACGAGTTTCATATGATTTCGAGATTAAAATTTGAAACAATCTATTTTCTCAATACTAAAACAAAGTCTAAAACCCTAGTGCCATAGATGCATTTCAAACTCGATGTCCAATGATTCTAATGAGAGATGATACAAAAATACCTGTTGACATATACTTGTTTCCGTAAAAGCCAAAATGCAACTCTTATTTTGAGTAGATATCTATACCTGTCGGCTAGTTAAACGATCTTTCTCTAAAATTTATGATAGAGTTACTATGTTTGTCACCTGATCTACACAAATAGCATAGAATGTATAAGGTGTAGTCGGAATATAGGTTTGAGCTTTCAACTAGTCAACATTCGAAATTATCAACTGTTGTATTCTTTAAGAGATTTCCGTTCTCATTCATACCTTCAATATAACAAGGGGAGAAAATAAACAAGTCAAAAAAAAATTGTTTAACCTCATTGAAATCAGAAATGAAATGAATGGAATAGACCTTTTTCTATCATGTTCTACTATTTCAATTCATTTTTATTCCAATTATCAACAAGCCAGTTCAATAAAATTATGTTTATGAGATAAAATATGATATTTGACTACATTTGCGATAATGATCAAATTTCATTCGATTTCATATACGTATAGTCTGTATTTGTTGAACAAACGACTGTTGTTACGCTAGTGTCTAACAGAGAGTGAACGAAAATTAACCACTTCATCAACGTAAAAAATTAAACGAAATTATGTGGCAATGAAGAAATGAACATTTTCATGAATTAAATGCGATAATTGTATTTTTGATTTAGAAGTCATGAACGTAACGAAATTTTATTGATTATCAGATTCCATGTGCAACCATACCATAACTTTCTAGTAAACTTTGTCAAAAAGATGAAGTCTTGGAATTCTAATTTTCAAACGAAATTTTCACATGATTTGTCTAAGCTATTAGGATAGACATATAAAGGAATGAAAACTCCTTTCTGATTCTGAATACCTGTTTTCTATCGATAAATTTTGAGATGAACAAGTTAACATACCAAGATGAATTTTTTCTGAGGCTTCAACTATGTAAAGAACTTTATTGTATTATTTGATACCTATAGAACGTTGGCTATGTGAAAATGACATTCGAAAGTGAATATTTTTGTTCTAATTACAAATGAATGCAGTTCGAGAATCGTAACTTGCTTTCGAACACGGAACTTTTTATAACCTAAAAGATGACATAGATTTTCTCTTGCAATAGTACACTAACAACACCGTCAGATTCAACAAATTTAGGCTTGTAGACAAAATAAAGATAAAAGAGGCGTTTACACATTTCAATATGTATACGCCAGAAAAGAGTTAATGAATTACCAAAAACATTAAGCATTGTTTAACTCAAATCAATTTTAAACCCATCTTATCTATTTACACTCGTTTTTGATGACTAATTGGTGAAGAAAATAATTGAACAAAAATTATCTACGGATATATTTGCATGTTTTATGAGCATTTTATTTCCAACATTTGAACATTTCCTTTCTCTATCGCGATCTATCTCATTGCAATCGCTAAAAACATTCACTGATAGTCTTCATTTACATGATTGACCGATGTTTTATTTCATCTTTAGTGGTAAATTGACTTCTGTTCGAATGAGTTTCCTAGTATCGAAATCGAAGGATAGGATTTAATTGTAAGTGACAACGATATGTTAGATAGTCCTCAGAATAATCGTATATTCTGAATCAGTATGAATATTGACTAAGTGCCATATTTCTATGTATATTGCTATCAATTTTCATCGAGAATGACGTCGTTTCTTCTATAGCTCATCGATCTGTTGACGGTTACAACTTTCTTTCACAATTCGTAGAAAACTTAATTGTCTCCATTATTTTCCCTCGATACAAGTATTCGTAGTGGAATTCCCTATCAAATGGTTTCACGGCAAGATAACCAAAAAAATATTGCTATCCTAAAGGGTGGCCCAAAAGTTGAAAGCCATAATCTGAAAAGAAAGTAGCTCGAATTATATGGACATCATGAAAACTTATGGCAGCTTTATTGATCATGACTAAACATTTCACATCTTACATTTTTTGCAAAAGTAAAATATGCTTGTAACATCTGAAGCGAAATATTGTTTTCTAGGAATACAAAATTTGAAGAAAATTAGAAAGATTAATAAAAATTTCATGTATCTAATATTAAGGAGAGTGAGCTAAACTTTTAATAACTTTAACTGATCTACTGCTCTATCTGTTCATGCAATTCGGAAAGGTTATTTTCAGCTTCAATAGGTGACACTACATCTCAAAACATCAACTATCAGTCGATCAACTAATTTTATGGAAAGTTAAACATTTTCTCTCGTGTAACGCATGTAAGATTTTTATTAGTCTGTTTAGTTTCCTCCATTTTTTGTATTGAAAATAGGACCAGAATTTTCTTTTGATATATAGATTCTTGGTCAACGTTAATCATTTAGACATGATAAGAATATTTTTTGTTCTATCGAAAAATGTAAAATGTAAAACGCTTAGTAATGTTTAATAAGAGAATCATAAGTTTTCATCATGTCGATGGAATTCGAACTATTTTCTTTTCAGATGATAGCTTTAATCCTGCTATCTGTAGAATATGTCATGTCGAATATATGACATTATAAAAAAAATACATGACCCATATATGAATAATCAAATCTTTTATTTTAATAGGAACTTCGAATAAAAAAATACTTTTCTATTTCGAAGTATTTTAAAATTTCTTATATTTTTTATTATACATTTATTTAAATATTTTTAAGAAAAAAACTTTCCAGTATCAAATAATCATTTTAGTACAGTGTTTTCTTTATTGGTTCAATTTTATAATGAATGATATCATTACTAACGGAAAAATTTTTGAACCAAACCGCAGTGAACATGATCGCACTGCGTTAACAAGCTTTATTTTAGACGAAGAAAAACAGGAAACTATATGAATATTTTCATGGTTATTTGCCTTAATTTATATATCGAAATACTGATCTAGACTGTATCAAATCCTTACGTAGCTTAGAGTGTATTATAGAAGAAAGAAATCTGTATTGACAAAAAATGTTCTGTCGAAACCAGATTTATATACCTAACATTGTCTGACAATCTTGACTAGTCGTCGAATTTGCCTGATTTACATCCGCTGAATCGATGTGCCATATTGAATTTGGAAATTCAATTTTAATGTATTTTATTCCAAAATAAATATGTAGGTCTAGCGAGTTTTCATTTACTTTTTAACAAAAGAAATGATTCTTTTGTATGAATGACTCATTTACTTCGTGAGGTATTGAGCAAGTTGAGATCGTCGTAAGTAAGCCGAACATGTGAATTAAGAGAGTTCTGTTAGCCGTCATCCTCGAACAAGTCTAATATGTATAATCATTGTTCGATGAGAAAACGATCACACCTACATTGGTGTCCTTCAGAGAGTGAACGACAACAAACATCTTATTATCGGATGGCGATAGAATGTTTGTAAAATTATAATTTGTTTCTGATTTTTGCTTGATCTTTCATGAGATTATGAGCTTCTAGTAGTTCCATTCACTTTTGAAAGTGATGTTCAAGAATTATTCTGTCACTGATGGAATAATTTGAAAAATTGAGAGCAACCCTTTAGTCCAGATAAGGTGAGAGAACAAAGTTTTCCTAAAAGACAGAATCCTTGCGTTCTTTTTATTTAAAAAATATCCATATGCCATCACTGAGATGTCATGGCAAAAATGCAAAGAGCATAAAAATATCCTTCTTATAAGGAATCTACGTTTTCTGTATGTCAATAAATTATACCATTTATCCCAAAAAGTTGAAGAACTCCACACGTGTGAAATATGAACAAGCGAGAAATATTCTTCGAAAAGTGATCATATAATCTACGAATTTCTCTTGTGCTCGGGATGTGTCCAAGCAATAATAGCGATTGTATTTATAGAACTCGTCATCACTGATCATCGTGCTCACTTTCAGGGTCATAATCAACGATATCCTACCTTTAGTTGCTGGAGCACTAGTTTTCACAGCAGATATCTAAAAATATAAGACATTCAATAAATATCAGTTGTCTAAAATGATTATCGTCTGACTTTTTTGGTGATGGAGTTGATTCCAGTATTTACCGTATTGGTGGAGGCGGCTGCTGCAACTGTATTCTTCTATAAACAAAAGGAGATAGGCGTAGACAGAAAAAGTACATTAGTAAATTGCTTGAATTACTTGACATTCGCTGGAATACGTCTCTTCTTTTTTTTTGTCTGAGCCAATATCAGTCGTTGTCGAGGCATCTATAATACAGAACAATCATTTATTTCATAAGTGGGTGTGAGTATGGATGTGAGTGTTGTTAGAGCAGAGTTATACCTACACCCACACCCTTATCTTAGATGAAAAACTCTCAGATCCCTCATTCCTAGGACGCTTTCACATTCCAAAGAGAACATTTTCCCTCTAACTAGTGTTGCTCAGCATCGTAGCAAAGCCGAATCCTGCCGCCTGATTCTCTCAAATGGGGAGTCATCACCATTGATTGAGCATACGTCGTGATGAGTCACATATACGTAGAAAACCACAATGACGCAATATTTCGATTCCGCCTAAATTCCTGTCGAGTTCATGATGGACACCAAATGAACAGAGTTCAAATCCGATCATTCTTGAGAGTATGCATGTAGGTGTGTGGATATGGATGTGGGTTTAGAGAGCACACCACATCCAGACCGATACCATACTCACCCCACACCTACATGCACATTCACAGTCACACCTCAAACCTATCAGAGGTTAGTAGAAACCTTCTTTAATATGGTCTGAACAGCATCATGATGAATCCGTATTGGAGTAAAGAAAAATTTGAAATTAAATGATGGTTGTCGAATGCACTTACTTAAACTTAATTTTAAGTAAATAAAGTGATAAGTAGAAAAAAAAATTTAACTTAATCAAGTCAAATAAAAAAAGTCGCTCATGCCTAGTTAGCATTCGAAGAATTTTCGATCAGCTTTCCAAATATTAGATAGATCTCGAAAAGCACAAATTTAAGGAGAGAGGAGAACAAACTACTCAGTTCTTTGGTCAGATTGGTTCTGACGAAGTTTTTGATCAAAATAGTGGTTTTCATGGACAATTTTCACCTGATTCTGATATTTTATATGAGATTTTCGTTGAAAAACATGTTGAAGGATAGAAAACATATGAAAGTTACTTATTTTCGGGTTGAAAATTTGGTCAAAATTGATATCGTCAAAAATCTCGGTAGTTTAATCTTGTTGTTCATAAAAAAAACATGCTTTTGGAGGCCTTTATCAGCGTGAGTATACACCAATACATCCGCTTCAATTAAAGTTTGTTTAGAACTATTTGTTTTGTCGAAATTTCCTTGATCCTCGTCTTCGGTATCATAGCAGTTTCGTTCAGATGGTTATCATCTGATGACATTTTTTGCAAACACGTTAGGAAAAACTGTCAATGTGCTTTTTGACCATGCAAATTGATGCGCCTATGAAGGGATAATGTGATTCTCGTTAAAACAGAGTCAACTGGTGCACTTTAAAGGCAAAATTCACCTGCATTCAGACGAGTTTTTCTGTACATTTCAAAAGTAAAAGTAAACTATGATCGTTTTCAAGGAGTTTTTATCGTTTCATAAATGACTAGAAATACCTGATTCCGTTATTCCTAACAAAACCATACAGATTTTATTATCGTAATATGAATTTTTACCTTGCTGTGTATTTGCTTGATTTGAAACCTATGCATATGTGTAAATGTTATACGTTGAAAAGGAGATAAGCAACTTACACTAGATGCAGTATTCGAAAACGGCGGCTCAAGAAGAACATACGGGGGAGAGAGTTCGCGCAGATGTATAATGTGCAATCCATCGGCAGCTTTGACTTTGCTCACAACTTCAAAATAGAATCCCGGTAGAAGCAAAATTTCATCTTCTGTCTTGTAATATGAATGGGATTTAATAGGTTTCCCGTTCATACACTCAATGTTGAAGAGCGTTCTTGGACCTGTCTCACCCAAATACATGGGCCGTTCCAGTACTTCGAGCGACAGAGTACACGAAGAGAATGCCCACCATGTGTAACGTTCACCACGATGATATTTTGAATGAAGATCAGCCTTGACACCACGATAGATCACTTTAGCTGAGCATGGTTGTATTTTAAAGAGAGCAGTAATAAATAGTTTGAGATAAGGGAACCATGGTTCAAGTTTTCGACGATCTCTGTCGCGCAGCATCTCGTTCAGAATCGAATATAGACTTCGAGACTTCACCTCCATGGTATAAAGATGAATAGCGGCCGATTCATCGGAGGAAAGATCATCAGCTGGCTTCTTCGACGCATTCTTAGCGATCCAAACGTCACGAGGCAAATTACGAAAGAGTGACTTTATTGGTTCAATAGCTTCCTCGAGAGAAACGGGCTCTAACTCTTGATAGTCTTCGAGTGGCTGTAGACAGGCTTCAGGTTCATCGCAAGTGTTTTCAATTAAACGAGGATTCCAGTCTTTCTGACCTGCTGGTTCGCCCATAATCGAGAAAATATGGCTATGCTAGAAAAAAATGAGAACCGTTTACTTCGGAGACGGTTTAGTGGCAACACGAGAGGAGAATTTCTAGGTAGAGAAATACGCAGAAAAAAATATTATTTTTAAGAATACTTTCCTTCCCTATCTCAGAAATCAACATCGGTTTCTTACAAACTTGTTGCGCTGAAGCTTTCTCTAGACGTGAGCAATGGTTCGGAAGGACAATCATTGGGCTTTCATCCAATTAAAATTTTTAGACTTGAAGGAAAAGCTTCCATATTATAAAGTAGGATATATTGTGGATGGGTGGTTGTAGGTAAATGGCTGGCTAGATGGATGTGGATGAAGAGAAGACTCAACCATTCATTTACCTACGTAAACAATATTCCCAACAGGTAAACTACCATAGACTTCGTCTCAGAAGTAGAGAGCCACAAAAACAAATGGCAACAATTCTGAGAATTCAAAATATTCTCTATGGGGATCTTCGATTGTGTATTAATTTTTACAGGTGTTTCTCGCCTATTTAAGCACTTACACGTAAGTGTAACAATTTCATGTATGATGAAACGAAGAAAACTTCGTACGAGAGCTTCGACTTAATCAAGAAGAAACCAGCTGATTGAAATCAGCCCAAACTAACGAGGAAACATTCCCAACTGTCGGGTGTTGTTTGACTCCATATTTTGGCTACGAGTAGGTCTCTATGAGACTAAGAAAATTCTAAAAGGGTTTGTTCTCACGATCTTTCTAGACCGAGATTTGAAATGTCTCGTATATCAAGAAAAATCAATTTTTCACTTTTTCCTCGATTTTTTTCTCCTTGATACTGAGAGTTAGAGACTTGAAACTTTTAACATATATCCTTCAAGCTATTTATTACAAGCTTCTAACGTTTTGACTCAAAAGGTTATACGAATCGTGTGATATAAATACCCACACCTCATGTCCCACATCCCACACTCACACTCATACCCATACCCATATCCCCACTTACACACCCCAGATCCACACCCTAATTTCATAGTGTCTAACGCTGTTTATCCTGATCTAGACACATTAATCGGGGGACTAAGTGTTCTGACCGACTGTCGTACGGATTCCTATGCAAGTTTAAATATTTTGATGTTTTTCTCATGACTTTTGTATCACTTGAAACTTTTCGCTGACATCCTGATAAATAACTGAGTAATTTCGGTTCCCGTGCCGTTACCATTCATCAGCGTTTGTGAGAGCAGGAATTTCTCTTCATGACTCTCAAAGATTCGCATACTTGGTGAAGTTTTTAGCATTCGTCCTTACAGATTTCGCTATCGTCCGAAGCTTTATGGAGTTATTTCTATGAATTTCTCTGCGAACCCAAGGTTTTCGCCGCCACCTTGCGGGGTTGGGTGTAGGTGTGGGTGTGTGTGACATAAACTGGGTGAATAACTCACACCCACATCCCACTCACCCACGCCTCACACCCACACCCTTACAGCCTGTAGGTTAAGTGCAGAATAACCCATGATTGTTTTAATGCATTCAAGTAGTGTAGCAAGTGACCATGAGCAGTGCTTAAGAGTGATGCTGGCAAACAACTGGTCGCTAATAATGCAAACGCACTCTGATATTGCTTCACAAAAGATCTACATAAAACCTACATTTATCAAGAATAATCTACTAAGATTTCCTAAGTCAGGAATGCTAATAAAACTTTGGCTTGTTTGCTAAACATTTAGGTTGAAGAGATAAGAAATAAATAATAAAAAAAGTGTCGTTTCGGAGCTGCTTATCTGGATTCATTGCGTTATAAATCTAATACTTTTTCTAAGTAAGAGAAATCTGGCATCTGATAAAATGTAAGCCAATAAGAATTGTCTCATGATAAAATAGCGTTACACTTGACAGCAGCTAGCCGCTTCACTGGAAAATTCCTTTACGAAGGGCGTTAAATTATAAGGATTGAACAGGAAAATGTGAACAATCTAGATCTGATAGGTTTCAGTAAAGACTCGAAGTGATAAAAAATGAAGAAATATTTTTGTACACATTATGAGAACTAGGAATAGCATTTTAACTTCACTTTAAAATTAAAGCTGAGTAGCACTTTTTTTCTATTGACGAAAACATTTGTTAGAAGTTCATAAAACTTTACGAATATTCATAAAAGTATGAAAAACGATTTATGAATCATGTACCATGACTATTCATATAGCATTGACTAATATATAATGGGAGTATACTTGAGCGATCAGGTACGGTATAAGGAGGATGCTCATAGATTATTCAAAGGTATAGAATAGTGGTATCTGTAGGTTTTCGAGTACCATATAAGTGGGTTATAAATAGCTTACTAACTACTAAATAACGGCAGTAACTATTGGTCACCTGATACTATGTAATAAGGATACCTATAAACCTTAAAGAATTATTCGAAGTGAGTATATAACACTCCAGATATCGTTTGTCGTAGAGCTACTCATGAATAGTGATATACTACATTAGGCTGATTCTGGTTTTTGCTTAATAACCATCTAAGCTAACTTCTCATAGTAGGCTTTGAACTGTGTACAGGTCATTTAGACAACTCATTATAAAGAATACAGAAATGCTTTTCGATATTTCTTCATGAGATTTCAGATGGGAGACCGTAGTTAACAGATAGTCTTTTGATGTTGATTCGTAATGGTCATGTATTGGATGTGTTTGCAATGTCTGAGTACGAGTTGTCCTCATTCACAATTTAAGAAAATCATGATAATCTTTTATAGTGATCAAAATCATGCTCTACGCTTTTTTACACAGCTTCAGTTTTATCATTTTATTTTTTTAATCGTATTAAATTATTTGTTTTATATATGATTGATGTCTTTCAAGTAATTCTTGTATCTCACGTTAATTGTGTGAGTACTACGTACGCGTTTTTGTTTAAGTTGCATGATTCCGTATATTCAGGTACAAAAAATATCTATACCTCAATTTGATCTTATCTGGCTTACTTAGTGACGCTTCTGAGTGTTACCACTTCAGATCGACTATAGACCTAATAGAGATCTGATCTACGGGAAAAAATGTTGAAAATTAAATATGGATGTCAAATGCTATCGAAACAAATAACGTCGTCTAGAATTTGGCACCTTGATCATACAGAGTCCATCGTTCCTTTTTTATAATGTTATTAGTGTAGATTTTTATCTAGTAGTGATAGTAATGAGTAATATTTGATATCAATTATTTCAAAGAACTGCATGAAGAACTACTGTACAATCAAAGTTTCTATTGTCCTGGCTGAAGCTATTACAGTTTCAACACCTGTAACACAATCAAAATCTTTAGCCATTTCTGTTATCAATTCACGTAAATCTAAACTGTCATGGATAGCCAATGAATATTTGTTTAGATTGACTAAAAAACGTCTACTACTAACAAGGGAAGGTCCTCAACTGATCAGGTGCTTTTGGGTTGAGACTATGTGCATTATGTAGGTACAAATGAGCTATGAATACCATGAAAAAAGTTCGGGGTGCTCGTTTATTGCTAAGTAGATACTGCAATGTTACGATATGTTTTTAAATGAATGCCGTGGCCCCCCTCAGGGAATATTAGAAAAAATGATTTCGAATTTCAACTGAAACATTACATATAAACAGGTCTTATCGAGAAAAGTTATTTGTGAAAGTTTCAGGTCTTTTGATTCGTTCCTTTGCTGAAATGAGAACATCAGATCTTCTAGTTAATTCGAATGAAGTTATCATAGTTGTATTTACAGATAGCAACAACAAGAAGATCTAAAACTTTCACAAAATATTATTCTCTGTATGGTCTGTTTCCACATAAAGTTTCAAGTCGAAATTCGAAAATCATTTTTTTTATGTTCCTGAGGGGAGATCACGGCATTCATTTAAAAATACCGTAAAATTGTAGTATCTCCTTAGCAATAAGCGAGCACGCAGAACTTTTTCCAGGGTATTTATAGCTCATTTTAACCTACATAATGCATATAGTCTTAACGCAAAAGCGATTGATCAGTTGGGAACTTTCGCTCGTAAGTATTGAATGAGTACGGCTTATGAATGAACAGCTTTCTGAAGACTCAGGAGAAAGACTAAAACGAGTGGAAAACATTGTTATTCAACACCATAAAGATAATGTTGGCGAATGATATCATCACGATATTGTAAATACTGTAAAAAAGGTTAGATGGCCATTGGTTCGCAAGAAATTAAATTTATCCTGGCCTTGCTTTTGTGAAACACGGTCTAAAAGGAGTGTTGAAGTGTATAGGGGTAGAAATTTGGACCCCCCTCCCCCTCCCGCCACAGACGTGACAGACACGTTGAAAACGGCTTGTCACAGACATCACTACGGGACCATTGCAGACTGCTACAGAGGCAGTATCGCAAGTAAAATCTACTGCTTGTTATTAACTAATGAGAAAACGTGAAAACATTAGTTAATTAACAGAAACGGTATAAAATGGATTATTTGTAGCAATGAAAAATATTAAAACAAGATATTTTCTCATAGAGAAATGAACAATTATAAACGCTATCACTTTCATTAAACTTTCAGTCAAGTTTCATTTTGCTTTTCTTGTAAAAAACGATATATTTTAAAAAAGTTCTCTGGTCTCTACTCCTCCCACTCTCTGTAACAGTGCGTAGTGGTTGAAAATTGAGACATACGTCACTAAATTCCTTCATTCACAGTATAAAAAGCTTCATCGTGTTTCGCATTTTTAATTTCGCAGGGGTTGCGCTGAAAGCTTTTCAATATAAACATAAATAAAATTCAGCCCCTGTAATTCCTTTAGTCCTTTCAGCCCCTTTCTGCTTTTTAGTCCCTTTAGCCCCTTTAATCCTTTTAGTATCTTTGGTAACTTTAGTCCATTTAATCTGTGAAGGATGTAGTGTGCGATGTGAGTGTGGGTGGTGTGTGTGTGTGTGCATGTGGGTGTAGATGACTAAAAGAACTTAAGGCACTAAACGAACTAAGAGGACTAAAGTGTCTAAAGGGATTCAATGTACTATAGGGACTAAATGCTACTTATGCTCATATAGGAAAGTTAGACCAGGAAAACTTTAATTTCGTGCGGATCTCTCTAGATGCCTTTTGATTGACAGTAGCTAAATGAAAATATAGCGTAGCACTGATCCTCTTGATTACTCATGCTTGATCTTTATCACAATGTTACCTACAATGGTCTATTTGAATTCTTTCTGAATTCAAAAAGAAAAGCATTCCTTTCTTCCTGAAATTGGGGATTTGGGATGGCTAAAAATGAGCAGCCACTTTTCATAGGACCCTGGAGTTTGGGAGACTACGGGATCCTTAACCATCTCATATACCTTTTTATAAATCGGGTGGAGCTTGGCGGGAGTAGAGGATCCTTAGCTATTAACCATATCTTTTTATAAATAGGGTGGGGCTTGCGGGACTACGGAGTCTTTAGCTATTTCATATACCTTTTTATAAATATGAAATATCTAAGGACTTCCTAGTCCCCAAAAGCTCCACCATATTTATAAAAAGGTATGGTTAATAGCTAAAGACCCCCTATAGGAGTATCAGCGTTCCTGTTCTTTTGCGTTCCGTTCCTAAGGAACGGGAACGCTTTTGAAAATTTATTTCTAAGCATTATTGAGTATCGGAAGATGGTCAGACAAGCATACTTTTTTTACCACTACGAAAGCACTATGCGTTCCTGGATTCCTGAGAACGAGAATCCACTCGGGTTACCCGTACCCGGACACGGGAACGCACTTGAAAACTGGCTTCCACGATTTTTTGATAAATTACAGATATTGGATCATGCTTTTTCTTTCCATTTGTATAAAGTCACGATGGATTCCCGAGTTTCCAGGTGCGGGAATCCATCTGAAAATTCGATACTATGTGTTCCTAATTATCCTGAAATATTTTAGGACATACATTCTTTCGCATTTTATGAGGTTAGTGCGGGTTTCCGGATTCCTCGGAAAGGGAACTCGTCTGGGTTCCGCGATTCTAGATACGAGAATCCGGAGCAGGTTCCCGTACCTGAGAATGGAACCCGAAACTGACACCCCTACCTAGAACAATCAATCCTTATACAGGATTTCGATCTGGTTTCAGTAGAAATCCGACAGAATCCATCCAGATTTTGAACGTATCCGATCAAATCTGACAGTCGGAGTCGGGACCATGGAATTCCGACGAAAATCCAACAAGGTACGGAAGCCATTAACTGAATTCGGCGGGGTCTGATGGACTGAAAATCACTTCGGTGTGCGCTCATTTTTTGCTCCTGAAAAATTCTAATGAGTTTTATCTTCATCATAAAGTTTCGACACAGACATATTACCAGAAAGAAGATTTTCCTAGACCCACCCGCTTGAATGTGATAGATTTTACAAAAGTAACTATCGTACAATTAAAATTATTCTCTATCAATGCAATATTCCAAGCATATTGTTTGTCACAATCTAGTTGAAAAGAGTTCTTCGTAACCATTTCCTGAAGCCGCTTGTATTCTCTACAGCATTATATATAAGTTTTAGTGAGGTCAAGCCTCTTCACATGCTTAAAAATTACAATTCTAAATGTTTTTTACTACGCTGGAACTCATGAAATATATTGACAATTACTACTCACGTTTCTTAAGAAAAATGACTGTATAATAATGCGGGTCGTTCAAGGAGGAAAAATTAGGTTTTAGCATCTAAGATCTCTGAAAATCTTTTGGAATCTTTTGAAATCTTCAAGTCTTCCCGAACATGTTTAATTTCATTCTTATTCTTTTGAATAAGGTAATATTTATCAATTGTAGAGAAAATGTTGAGTCACAATGACTGTTTATGAAGAGGAATAATGTACGTTAGAATGAGTTTGAAATTTTACAAGATTTCGAGAGATTTCAAAGATTTCGGATGACTTTGAGCGATTTCAGCAAAATCAAATCTGCTTACCCTAACAAATCTCTATTTGAGAATGAAACTTTACCTCGTTTAATGTGTTTTTCCTTAGGACCTAAATGTAGAAGAAGTAGAATTAGTATCGATCCTCTGAAACAATATTCTTTTCGTAGATATTTCAGCAGTAGACGAGTTCAATATTCATAGTATGTATAGTAGATGTGTAGACCTAACCTGTGCTGGAAACTCAGCTGTCTAGTCATTGTTGCTATGCGAACGCAAGTAAAATCAGATTTACAAACAAAGTGTTTAAGAGCGCTAGAGTTCTTTTGAATTTATTACGATTTGCATTTTTCTCTGTTGATACTATCCATTCATTTCACTCAGAATTTCGGCATATAGTTGTTAGCAGCAAAACAATGAGAATGATGTGAAAAGAATAATGTACAAGTTTATTGGTACCACTTGCGGATAGAAAAATCTGCTACACACCGATGATGAAAACGGTCTACGAAAGAGAATATAATTTCAAAACACTTACCTTTACTGAATATAGGCGTTCGGAATATTGTGTGTTGAGGAGAAGAAGAATAGTATATTTTATCGGCGTCCGTTGTATGCAAAATAAAATATACATGACATCACTTACATACACATATTTAAATTAGCTTGGCTTGAGTGCAATCAGCCGTATACGTCAAATTATTCATTCTCATATATTAATGAGATACCCCATCTTTTTTGCATGAAAATTTTATCTCTTTTTTCGTATTCTATCACTTACCGATCGAGCATCTTTAAGGACGCGCAGAGAAAGAGTGAATCGTAAATTGAGAGAAACGCACATTCGACCATAACTTCAGTAGCTGCTTTTCCCTCGACTGTAGAGAATAGGGATATCATTTACCATTTATATTTATCTGCAAATATAAATCCTGTTACAAAATAATTTACAATTTATAATAAATGTAAATTACTCTTAATTTATATTTATTTTACATATAAATTTTTTACTTTTCGTGATTTATCGAAAATAAATTAAAATAAACTATGATATGTCTATACGATATTTTACATAAGAAATGCCCTAATCTTACAGCAGTGAACAATAAATCGATCGGTGAGATAAATGTTCATTTCAAGCGGAAAAATATCATCCAGATCAAAAATGAACCTTCTTCCCATTCTGTTTTTATAGGACGTCCGTCATATACATATACGCGTATGTGTACATATTTCTTTTGTATCTCATTATTCTATTCATTTTTCTGTCGGATAACTATATGGTATGCATGAGAAAGATCGTAGAAAAAAATGTCGAAAAATGTGGATCTTAATGTTCTACATCAGAAAGATGACAAATTTATTTTATTCAACAGGGTGAAATATAGATATGTAGATAATTAAAACTAATTATAAAAAAAATAAAGAAATAAAGTTCGACAGT